GGACATAGTGTGGGACAGGTTGGGACATATAGCTGGGACAACAAATCTCTGGGACATCAAAAATGTACATCACTGCCTCGAGACATACACAAATCGTCACCTGTGTCACGCCCCTCCGGTTAAAAAATTCATATATACAGTAATTCAAATCACGTGTTCGGTATGGCATTCAGATTTCACCTACCTTGATCTATTGACATGATAGCTAAGCCACCGTTATTATTCGATTAATCTCTTTAATCAAGTTAAAGATAATAATTAATTGTTCCTCCTACCATAAAAATGCCTCATAATAAACTTAGAGTAGTCCTTCAGAAGGCGTTTTCGTCAGAGAAGCTTCGGTTACCAAAGGAGCAGATAGACGAAAGCAGGTGAATAGGCATTGCACTAGTTTGTATTGAAGTTATCCCAGTGTTGACTCGTGTGAATTGCAGTCTTCCTTTTCCGATTGCCTCAAATATATCTCTGCAACAATACAATTCTTTCATCGAAAGCAAAGAGATAAGCGGATACAAACTTGATTATAAAAAGGGTACCATATATATAGTTGAAATGTGTTCGAGTGAACATGAAGCTGTTGTTGAGGAGATTGGAAATTGCTTCAGAGCCTATGGCATGGGTCGTAATGCTCCTATACAAATTCTTGGACAGCCACGTAAGGGAAATTCTTCCTAGTTTACTTAATCTCTCACCTCTTATGGTGTTCTAATATTTATCATCATTTCCAAAGTTCATGACGCGCCAGATGGATCTCGCAAAGCACCGGATCTTGCTGTTCGTCCTCATCCCACTTACGTTCCGGACCCTCCCGTCCCACATCCTGGTCCTCCGCCCAGCGATAGAAGAGTACTTTGATTTGTCATGTATTTCATGATACCCTAAATACTAATACTTATATGGTTGATATAGGGAAACCCTTATGCGAGAATAATTCTTGAAGTAGCTGTTAGTCAAAGTTTCTCTGACTTGAAGGACAAGTGTAGGCTTTGGAAACAACAATCGTATGTACGATCTGTACTAGGTATTAAACTTTACGATGCGTTGGCTATACGCAATGCAACAACAGGACGCAGAGAGCGGGCTATGAAGGTATGTCTCATGGTCTAATAATTCTAATTATTATATTACTTTGTATTTAAATTGTTAAATATTAGGCCACGCTTTGGCGACAAGGAGTCGCAAGGCAGAAGGTAAGATTGAACGTTGAGAAAGAAAATTTCCTACTCTTTACTTCTTGTGATGCTCAAAGTCTGGTTCTTTATATGATAGTGGCATTTTGGGACTGTAGATAAAAACGGCAATCAATTTCCTCTTGGCACAAATGTTTGTAATACTGCGAACAACTCAAACTTCATCATTAATATCCCCGTTGCCAACATATTTTATGATCCTCCAATTCCTGCAATTGGATATACACCTTTAGCTCGTCCTCCTCCAGCAATGTATAATGCTGTTGTTGCGATAGATCTGTACGAAGTTCAGCAGGCTGTTTTAATGAATCAAGCAAAATAATGTGTCGCGAATTCCATTGCATATTTTTTTTTTTAAAAAAAAAAGAAGAAAAAAAGTTCTTTGACAAATTAATCAAAAAAATAAGATTTTTTTCTCTTTATATTTCATATCTGATATAACAGGTAAAAATAAATTAGTGTAATATTATATAAATGTACTGTATGTGTAATGCAATAAACTGTATAATAAAATGAATACATTTATGTATGAAAAAATTGGCACACAAATAATGATTTCTTTTGCGAAACTTCAATAATTTTTCGATAAAAAAAGTGGTTAGTAACGAAACATATGATGCTATCAAAGTGGGAGGGATTTCTGATTGGCAGATCACAATTATTCGTATACTGGAAACTTTCTTTTTATTATCCACGTGTAGGATATACTGTTAAAATTAAGATAAAGCCCGATATGGGCAAATTTTATTAATAAACACATGCGGTAGTCACGTGACAGCGTGAAGAATCTTAACGGAATCACGTGATAAATAATTTTATCTCATGGTTACTAATGGTCGCCTGTGATTTTTTATATTGATATTTTAATACCAGTGAAAATATCAAAGT